GATTTCCGCTGAGCTTCGAGCGCGATCGAATCGAATTCGGCGCGAAAGGCGTGCGCATGCGTCGCCTGCTCGCCCGCCCGGCCGCCTGTCGGCGCCTCGGTCGAGCGCCTCCTGGTGTTGACGGTGGACGGCGCGCTCGCTGTTCGTTGTCGTCGGTCGGCCTGTCTTGGGCGCGCGGCGCGACACTCAGCGCGGTAGGATGGTGCTGGTCTGAGCGATCGTTGGAGCAACGAGCGAGCGGTGAACGGCTAAGAAAGAGAGAGAGCGAAACGGACGCACGCGAGTGGCTCTTTCGCACGAGAGAAAGAGAGAGAAGTGCTTTCTCGTCGCTTGTCCTCATGACGGCGCGAGTTTAGTCTGCCCGAGTCTCGAGAGACGGCGAGTCCTGCGCGCGCGCGTGCTCGCGCGTGTCGCGGTTACAAGGATACTCGATTCGCGAATATCGCGCCACGCCACGCTCCTCCTCCTCGACGACGAGGTGAGATGTCCTTGGTGCGCACGCGACCACACTCGTGAGAGCTCCTCGTGACCGGCTCCGTGACCGCGTTCCCATGCTCCCGGAGGACACGCCGAGCGATCCTTAACACTTTGCGGTCCGCTGTCACGTTGACGTGACTTTTGCTCGCCAACGGTTATCGGCCGCTGTCACGCTGGCGTGACTTTTGCTCGCCATCGACTTTCGGCCGCTATCACGCTGGCGTGATGGTTTGACGATCAGGAAACATAGTTTTCAACTGTTTTCCTCTCCCAATTCAACAGACTGTCTATTATTAAAATCTTTTTTCGCGGACGCTTGTTTTGTCAGTTTGAGATTGTCTTTCGCTACCTTCAGATATAGGAAACTTACGTTAGATATCCCTCAAAATGCTCTTCGATGAGGAAATATATGCTGATCTGTTATCAGAAGAAGATAATTGCTCTGATAGTGAAAGTGATTCGGACAGTGAGAGCGATATAATTGTGAGACGATTAAAAAATAAGGGAAGACCAATAATTAGTGAATCTGAGAGTGATGAAGAGAATTCTGTGGCAGATGATTGGTCAGAAGTTGATTTTAAACCTAACTTTCATGCTTGCCTGGAACGGTTTGGGTTACAGGTACCATGCACACCAGATATATTATCAATTGTGGAATTGTTCATTGGGGACGATTTATTTAATTTGTTTGCCACACAAACAAATTTATATCATAATCAGCAGAATAATGATAACAACCATGCATCAACAAAGAATAAAGCTTGGGTGGATACAAATGTTCTAGAAATGAAAAAACTTTTGGGGCTTGTTATCCTAATGGGAATAGTAAAAAAACCAGAACAAGACGATTATTGGTCTACTCACCCTGGATTACACACACCTATTTTTGGGAATACTATGCCAAGGAACCGATTTCGGCAGTTATGGAAGTATTGGCACTTCAGTAATAATGAGCATTGCCAAGAAAGGTTTGATAAAATAAAACCAGTCTACTCGTACCTGGTAGAAAAGTTTCAAAAAATTTATAAACCCGAGAAAGAATTATCGCTGGATGAAGGTATCATTCCATGGAGGGGAAGGCTATCTTTTCGTACATATAATCCTGCGAAAATTATAAAATATGGAATTTTAGTCCGTATAGTGTGTGAGGCGACATCTGGTTATATATGCAATTTAGAAATATATTGCGCGCAAGGAAAATCGCTAATTGCGACAATATTGTCCGTGCTATCGCCATATTTAAATTTATGGCACGACGTATACATGGATAACTATTACAATAGTGTAAAGGTTGCAGAGGAGTTACTAAAGCATAAAACAAACATCTGTGGCACAATAAGAGTAAACAGAGGAGTACCATATTGTTTAAAATCTGCTACATTGAAAAATAAGTCAATGGAATTTCGTAGAAAAGGGAAAATTTTGGTACAAAAATGGAATTCGGGCAAAAAATTGATAACGATGATTTCTACGATACATTCAGCAGACATGGTCGAATGTGCGAATAAAAGAACCAAAAAGAAGTACATTAAACCAATTTGCATACGAGAGTATAACAAATTTTTGAAAGGTGTTGATCACGCCGATCAATACCTATCGTGTTATTCCATACTTCGCAAAACAAAAAAATGGACAAAAAAAACGGTTTTATATCTCATAAACTGTGCATTACACAACGCATTCCAGATATACATCAAAAATTCTGAAAATCCCATTAGATTCAAACAATTTTT